CGCAGCCCAGCACAGAGCGTGTCCCAGGAAACAGGGCATCTCAACACCCAGGCCCCGGACCCACGTCCGCAGCACCGGGAGGCTGGCGAAGCTCACGGGATGCGCCAGGGTGGGCGACTGCAAGGTCACGGCCCTCTACCCTCTCTCCCCCGGCGACCCCAGCTCCGCACTCTGCAACGAGCACCCAAAGGCGGGGGCAGTCATCCTTTTCCTCATCACTTACCCGGAACCAGCGGGGGCCTTGGGATTTACTAGGGAGCCGGCAGCCTTCAGGAACGCTGAGGCTCCTCTACAAATACCCACTAGCCTGGACGCAGCCATGTTTCTAAAGTAGACTCACTGGGCTGAGTCTACAATGTCACTTCCGTTGCTGCGTGCCGACAAGTGAAGCAAACAAGAACAGGTTTTGCCCTTACTAAACGCGGCCTCTCTCACGGCTTTCGCCCCAATCCACTATCGGCCATAGTGTCTGTGGGCTCTCTTGGCGCTCCCCATCGACGATGTCGTCACGTCTGCCCGCGAGCGCCCATCTGTGAAGCGAACAGGAACCAGCCTCTGCCCTTACTCAACATGGCCGCCCCAGCGTTCGCCTTCACTGGTGGATTGTCCCTCCCGGCTCCCGTTGCTCACCCCACTTCCTCCCCTGCCCGGAGTAGCCATGGCGGCCATGAGCCTGCTGCAGCGGGCTTCGGTTGCCGCGCTGACAGCGCTGTCTGGCCGCCGTGCTGGCACCAGGCTCGGAGTCGGGAGTTTTCTCACACGGAGCTTCCCGAAGACTGTCGGTGGGTGCAGGCCTTGGAGACGCGGGTGAGAGGGGGGGAGGGCTGTTTCCAGGTGACCTTGGGGGCCTCGGAGGGAGGGAGCAGGGACAGAGTTGGCCTGGGGCTTCTGGAGCGGGCGCGGGCGCCGACTGTGTGAGGGGCTGCTGCAGGAAACCGATGGCCTTGTCTTAGCGTTTGTGAAGCTCGTTGTCGCTCACTGCTTGCTTGCGGCCAGGCTAGACCGGCGTGCAGCTGCCGCCCGCGTCTCCAAGGGCAACACGGAGGTCCCAACTTGCCACCCTCCGGCCCCAGGCCTGGGATCACAGGCTGGCGCCACCTCGCTGGGATCACAGCGGAATCTGGAGAGGTGGCACCCGCAGCTGGTTCTAACCCGCAGACAGGAATCTGCTGAGAAGCGCACTGAGTTGAAGGCTGCAATGATGTTCTAGGCGCGAGGTGACAGCTCCGTTAGGCACAGTGGTAACTGCCTGAGGAGCTCACGACATTTTAGAAGCCCACAAAAATGTTTTATGTTTGTTTTTTAAAAGACAGATTGAATGAATGTTCGATAATGAGTTCAGCCCAGATTGTATCTGTTTTGTGTTAATGCAGGCTTAACTGTCTTGCAGTGGTTCTCAACCTGTGGGTCACGACCCTTTCACAGGGGTCTCCTAAGACCATCAGAAAACACAGATATGTACAGTATGATTCATAAAAGTAGCAAAATTGCAATTATGGAGTAGCAACAAAAATAATTTTATGATTGGGGTCACCACAACACGAGGAACTGTATTTAAGGGTCGCAGCAATTGGAAAGTTAAGGACCACTGCTATTTAGAAAAGAGCCTAAGAGAGCTCAGGTCTCAGGACAGTCATAGTGAGGGCTTAGGAACCTGACCCGGGTCCCTCTGCTTTCTAGAAGAGTAAACGTAGCTAAATACTACATGCTGAGTATTCGATCTATTTTCTCGCTCCAAAGACTCTGGAAAGTAATGTAATGTTAGTCCCTCATTTTACAAAAGAGGAAATCTACTTAATTAATATTAAAAAATAATTCGACACTTTACTACATTAGCAATAATGGTGGCCGAAGTTTATCGAGCATCTGTTAAGTGCCAGGCACTGCTTTACGTGTTAATTCGTTTAATCCTGTTGGTCAGAGATAGACAGTTTAATTTGCCTTGTGCAATACAGAAAAATAAAATTTTTACCCTAAAACCAAAACCATTCTCTCCAGTCTCTAAACATCTCGTCCCATTTTCCCTCCTTTTTTCTCTCACGTTGAGTGGCTCCGTTATGTAATGAGGCCGTATGCATAGAGACCTTCTGGGAACCATCAGTGCTTTTAAAATTTCTAGCAGGAATTTAAATTTCATGCAAACTCCATGTGCTAACACTACTTGGTAAAAATCTTTTCACAAATCATTTTTATTACAAATATCCTCAGATATCCAGGTAGAGATCCCTCGACTCCTCCCCCAAAGGGTGCTTGATGGTATCTAGCTATAGTGGGTAAGAGTCCCATGTTTCTTCTCTTTCTGCACTGTTCCCCACTTCTGCAGTTTTGAGAGGACCAGGAGGATGTCTCAGGTCCTCTAATGAGAACAGGGGACATCTTCTAACTGCTTGTTCTGACAGTGACTGATTCACTGTGTCACTGCTTTCACAGGCACACTGTGTCACCGTCTCCAGAAAGATTGCTAACCCCCTCACCCATCTTTTCTCTGGTGCTAGACTGCCTAGATTCAAGTCTTGGTTGCAGAATTTAGAAGCTCTATGACCTTGAGTCAGCACCTCTTGGAAGCTGAAGGTCATGATCTTCATTTCCTCATCTGGAAGATGATCATTGTAGACATCTCACAGAGTAGTTGTGAAGAAGTGTTGAGTAAGAAATGTTTCTAGCACCATGCACCCATACATTAGTCTTTTCAAAACAAGTCATCAAATACACACAGCATGAAATTGGCCCTTTGTTTTATTTGCTTATTTCTTTGGTACTGCTGATGAAATACAAACTTTTGCATATGCTAGTCAGCTGAGTTCTTTCCCCTGGGCTGCATCCCTAAACCCTCTTTTCCTTTCTCTTTACTCTATAAAAATTTGAGACAGAGTGTCACTAAGTTGCCCAGGCTGGTCTTGAATACACTCTGCTTTACAGGCTGGCTTTGAATACACTCTGCATTACAGGCTGGCTTTGAATACACTCTGCATTACAGGCTGGCTTTGAACTGTTGGTGAACTTTTCTTTCCCACCCGCCAGTTCCCAAATAACTAACATAGAGACTTGTTATTAATTGTAAAAGCCTGACCAATAGCTTAGGATTATTACTAACCAGCTCTTGTAACTTAACCCATTTCTACTTACTTACTTGCTGCCATGTGGTTCATGGCTTGTTACCTCATTTTGTATACTTCCTGCTTCCTCTACATCTGGCTGGAAACTCTCAGACTCCACCCTTCTTTCCATGTCATCCTAGTCTGGCTCTCCCACCCAATCTCTTCTTGCCCAGCTATAGGCCAGTCAGCTCTTTATTAACCAATGAGAGTAATACATCTTTACAATGTACAAAGATTGTTCCACAGCATTGAACCTCTGGTGCTCCTGTCCCAATCTTACAAGTAGTTGGATTGAGCATCTGAAAGGTGGAATTCCAATCTAAGGGCTTCCTGTCATTGAAGTTGTGCCCTTGAAGGGAATATTGGGACATCAGCCCCTCCTCTTCCTCTCTCTGCTTCCCAGCCACTAGAAGATGAACAGTCTATTCTTCTACATACTCCCCATCATGCTTTTTCACAGGCTCAAACAGCAAGGCTTGCATCTTATGAATGGGAAACACTGAATCCCTTTCCATTATAAAGCTAATATATCACAGATATTTTTCAGGTAGAGGAACGCTATATGAACAAAGTACTATGAACTCAGACAAGGAATGTACAATGTGTAAAATGAATATGAGAATTGTTTTAACAATCAAAACTGGCAGAAGTAGTGGGTGGGTTTTCTGTTGTCTGGATGTGGGGCTTTTGGAAGATCTAGGTGCTGAGAGTGGGGCCAAAGGAGGTCAGGACCTAATTGGGGTGGAGGGGGCTTGGATACAAAGCTCAAGTGCCTATGCATGTAGAGGTTAGAGGACAACTTGTGGGAATCAGTTCTCCTTCCACTGTGTGGGATCCGGTGACCAAACTCAAGTTTTCAAGCTTGGCAACAAATGCCCTTCCCTTCTGAGCCACCTCACTAGTCCTTCTTAGAATCATTATCAATTTGTCATTGGTAAGTGATGAAAGACTGACAGGTGTAAGGAAGAGGACTTAGATTCTTGGACCAGATAATTAAAATGGTACTTTAAACTGAGAATATAGAGAAAGATGGTGAATGACCAGTTTTTGATGGTTTGAAACAAAGTTGCTACATTTTCTTAATCTTGACATCAATTATGGTCAGCAAACTCTAAATAACTTTCCTGAGTGATTTGCATATTTAAAACTGTTTATTGGAGGGGGCTGGAGAGATGGCTTGGTGGTTAATAGTGTTGATCTTCCAGAAGACCTGGGTTCAGTTCCCAGTACCCACATTGCATATCTTACAACAGCCTATATAACTCTGGCTTCAGAGGGACCCTGTTGGGTGTTCTGTGTTGCACAGGCCATTCAAAGGAGAGTCACCCCAGAATGTAATTTTAGGCTCTCTGGCAGCAGGGAGGAACAGTTTCTGTGAGCTGAACCTTGAACCTCTGTTCAGAAATTCATATTTATTGATTGTACACAAAGGTTGTATTTGGGCACAAGTTCCTCATACCAAAGCCCCTTTGATCTATATGTTCTCTGAAGGAAATCATCACAGCCCTGTAACTTTAGTCTTTATTTGTGTACTGCTTGTGGTATCCAATAATTCAAGATACTTCAAGTGTGCCTGGATAGTCTTGTGACCAAAGCCATGCAATGGATGGAAAACTTCCTTAGAAAAATAACACTATAAATCATAGACAATAATCATTGTCTCTACTATGATTTCTTCAAGGTCTAGGTACCTCTAACAAACACTAATACATTCTACTGTTACCCCTAGATACAGTGAGAAACAATTGTTGCATTTTAATGTTTACCCTAGATACAATGACTAGTAGATTTCCACTACATGACCCCATGTGTCTTACCTCCATAGACAACTGCATTCACCTGCATATACCCACACACACCTAAAAAATAATTGTTAAAAAAATCATTTATTGAAGACTTAGGCCTGTAAGCTGTGCGTATCCTTTGTTTTCAGAATGTGAGCAGATGGCCCTCCCACATCAGCAAACAGAGACCTCAGTGCTGTGGGAAGTAGATTTCAGAATAGTTGATGGGAGTAGCATTTATCAGGCATATTTAACCAAATGTAATTGTTAAACAATTAGGTAATGATGTTAAGAAAGAGAAAGCAGTTCACTTTGCTAACCTCAGTAATATTCCTCCAATGCAGCCAGTCCAAGCTTTCTTCTGTTGTTCTTTTTTGGGGGCATGAAGCATTGATACAGGTCTCACTGGGGGGCCCTGGTTGGCCTCCAACTTAAGATTCTCTCCTCCAGTCGCTGCCTCCCAAGTGCCTGTTGTTTTTTATGTTTGCTATGTAGTTGTAATGGCTGTTCACTAAAGCTACATATAATTTAGTCCTCCCACTGTTCCCCAATTGAAAGAGAGAGGTGGGCACTGGGGAAGACTAGAGTTCTACATCTAGATAGGCAGGCAGCAAGGAAACGTGAGACACTGGGCCTGGCTTAGGCTTCTGAGACTCAAAGCCGACCCCCCCCCCCACATTACCTCCAAGGCCACACCTCCTAATGCCCCTCCCTAAGCATTCAAATATGAGTCTATGGGGGCCATTCTTATTCAAACCACCACACTGTCTGTACCCCATTCAAGGCATTTACAGGAATCTAGATTCTGGGGCTTCTCAGAGATCCTTTTGATGGATTGCATGTTTTAGGTTGTGTCTTAGTTATGATTTCTGTTGCTGTGATGAAGCATCATGACCAAAAGCAAGTTGGAGAGGAAAGGGTTTGTTTGGCTTATGTTTCCACACTGTAGTCCATCACTGAAGGAAGCTAGGGCAGAAACTTAGAGGCAGAAGCTGATGCAGAAATTCTGGAGGGGTGCTGTTTACTGGCTTGCTCAGCCTGCTTGCTTTAACCCAGGACCACCAGCCCAGGGATGGCACCACCCACAATGAGCTGGGCCTTCCCCCACCAGTCACTAATTAAGAAAATGCCTCACAGCTGGATCTTATGGAGGCATTTTCTCAATTGGGGTTCCCTCCTTTGCAGATAACTTTAGCTTGTCTCAAGTTGACATAAAAGTAGCCAGCACAATTGACATACACACACATCTCTGTTAAGCTATAACTTTTCCTTTCTTGTTCTTTCCCAAGATCACACATTAATATCAACATTACAATATAAACATTCCAAATTTTAAAGGTCACACAGTCTTTAAAAATTCAAATATTTATAAATTCAGTCTTTTTAAAATAGCCAATCTCTTTTAAAATCCAAAAATCCAAAGTTGTTTAAAATTCAGACTTTTAATTGTGACTTCCTATAAAATCAGAAATATATTAAGTACCTTCTCACTTGAAGAGGGAAGAATCAGGGTACAGTCACAATCTGAACAAAACAAAACTGAACTCCAACAGTGTAAGTAGCTCAATGTCCATGTCTGGGCTGTAGTCTTCTGGGCTTCTCCAAAGGGCTTAGGTCTCTTCTCTGGCTCTGCCCTCTGCAGTGCACACAGCTTGTATTCTAGGCTCCTGCTGGCTCCACTCCTCCATTGTTGCTCTTCTTGGTGTTCATCCTATGGTACTAGCATCTCCAAAATGCTGGGGTTCCTTGTACTTTCACCAATAGCCTCTCCTGCACTCTTCAGGGATTCCAGCCGTGCCTCCCAGTGCCAAGCCTCAGCTGCTCTACATGACCCTTTCATGCCTTCAAAACCCATTACCACTTGGGTGACTCTTACATCCAGCATGAGGTACAACTTTGGTTGCTCTGGAACACAGTTTCCATGTGCTGACCTTGAGGAAACACTTCAAGAAGACTGGTCTCCTCTTAAGTATATATAGCCGACTCTTTAGCCCCAGCATCCATTGTCCCAGCAAAGCAAAAGTTATACTTTAGTGGTTCTGGTCTGTTGTTAATCTCAGCCAGTTCCTCAACTGCAGCTGACTGGACACCTCAGCTTCTTCACACAAAAGGCTCAGTAGGGTCATTGCTTCCCTCTGAAACTTCACAAGCCATTTTTCCATCGATTGTACCGCTCTCAACATTCCTATCTTCCCAGCTCCTACAGAACAGCTCCCTGAGCTCTGAGTGTGCAGTGGACTTTCCACTCTGAAGTTCCAAAGTCCTTCCACAAATGTCCCCCAAAACAACCTGATCAGGTCTGTCACAGCAATATTCCATATCCTGGTACCAATTTTTTTTAGAGTTTCTGTTGCTGTGAAGAAATATGGCCAAAAGCAGATTGGAGAGGAAGGGGTTTATTGGTTTACACTTCCACATTGTATCTATCACTGAAGGAGGCCAGGACAGGAACTCAAATAGGGCAGGAACCTGAAGGCAGGAGCTGATGCAGAGGCCATGGAAGGGTTGCTCACATGGCTTGCTCGGCCTGCTTCTTAGAGAACCCAGGACCAGGCATAGCCCTCCCCCATAAATCTCTAATTAAGAAAATGCCCCCCACCAGGCTTGCTACAGCCCAATCTTATGGAGGTATTTTCTCAGTTGAGGCTCACTCCTCTCCAACGACTCTAGCTTGTGTCAAGTTGACACAAAACTACGCAGCGCAGGTAGAACAAACCCAACCAACTTCTTCCCTAAGTGAACAGTGATTGTTCTCTGCTCCTTCCACTTGCCTCTCTGAACTGGCTCTTCCTTCTGGGCCTGTTTTCTGCTGCTGTTCTGTTTCTTCCCTTTGCTGCCCTCATAGACTTGAGATCCCTTGTCCTCTGTTTTTCTCCCAGCAGGGTCTCTATCCACCTTAGACTCTAGGCCTGGCAGAGGACCTGCACACAAATGGGCATCTCAGTCCGTAGTGACTAGTGAGTGGTTTGTAGTATCATCCAGCTGACTTTCTTCCGTGATGGTAACTTTTTAAAAGGGTTTGTGAAGACATGTCAGGGTCTCTTATCTTGTTACTTCTGTAGTGTTACTAGTATGGTTTGTACTTAGTAAGTTCTTTGGGTAATTAACTTCCTAAACCCACTGTTAGCTGCTTCAGGTGACTCAAGAATCAAGACAGATCCTACCTTCAAAACATAGTTAGAAGTGACAGGAATAATAGCAGGTAGACTTGGTCCTCTGTACCCATGCAGCAGCAGCATCACACCTGGCCAACTGTAGCCCTCTGTATTCACTTACTTGCCAGGATTCTCAGATCCAGCCAACTATGGTTTGAAAATATTTGGAAAAATAAATTGCTCCTGTAACCATTTTTCTTGGTATTATTCCCCAAATAATACAATGTAGCAACAGTTTACATGGTATTCACTGTAATCAGTATTATAAATCTAGAAATTAGAGTATATAGGGGAATGTGTGTGGATTATTATGCTGATGTCATTTTATTTAAGGTCCTTGATCATCTGGAGGTTTTGTTGTCCATGGGACCCAAAACTAGTTCCTCATGGATGCTGACAGCAGAGGATAATTGTGCACATTCCTGGGTGTGTAGTGTTTCAAAGGGAGCATGTCGTCAGATGGAACAGCATCGGCTTCCTGCAGAATATATGTTCTGTGGTCCTGAAAGGGGTGTGTTCCTAGACGTTAAACATGAATAAAGGGTACTGTTCTTTCTTATGTCTGCTAGTGTCGCCATCTAGGGCTCTCAGTTGGGTTCATTTTTGCATTTTCTTTGCTGTGATGACTGCAGTTTCGTCAGTGGGGATCTGAGCAGCAGCATAGCCATCCCTTCTGAATAGTAGTGGTCCTCCTGGGCTTATTAGCCTGTGGATGGTGAGTCTTGTCAGTTTCCATGGAACAAGAGCAGAGAAGGGGTTCAGGAGTCACTTTCCACCTCCACTTATCTCCAACAAGGCTGAAATCATTCCAAATCTTTGATTTGAGGAGGAGGATATTCTTAGTCAGAAATGATTTACAAACAGATTTTGTCAAGATGTGAAGGATGGGGTATAGCTTGGTGGTAGAAATGCCTGGCTAGCGTATGAAAGGCCTGAGTTTAGCCCAATCCCCCCCCCCCCCCCACACACACGAGATAGACTGTGTAGTCTATAATAATCAAGTTTCTGCTGGAGATTGGAGTAGATACTGCCAGCCCTGTCCATCTGTGTTGCCGCAGCTTCCTACTTTCCACTTTCTTGGCTAGAAGGTATTATTCACCTTTGTTTTTTAGATAGCTTTAGCATGTTTGTTTATTGTAGGGGAAGCAAAGGTGAGCAGCTTGTCAGGAGCTGCCTTCCCTGCCTGCTTCTAAGGTACAGTGAAATGATTGCTTGATGCTGCTGCAGGGATTGAAATGAGCAGCACTCTGTAACTGCAGAACACTTATGAGCATGTGTGAAGACTGGGCTTCAGCCTGGTTACTACTAAACATTAAAAGAAAATAAAAGCAGCAGCAGCTATATTTGAGACAGCCGGTCAGTCTTTGAAATGCATCCTACCACTTCTGATGTGCAAACAAAGTCCATGCATTCACAATGTCCCACGTCTTCTCTCTCATCCCCTGCATGAGCCCTGTTAAACATTCTCACATTTCCAGCTCCTGTGCGGCACAGTGGGGACCATGGCAAGAAAATGTTCGTCATCAAAGCTTCTTCATACTATGAAGATCGCTTCTTGAGGTTATTGGTGAGTTGAAAATGTTCTTAACTACAAAATGTTTGCGTAGGGGTAATTCCCATTTAGGAAATGTCTTTCATTTGAAAATTACTATTTATTTTTCCTCAGGAGATATAGATTGTGTAGAAGGTCTGATTTGCTACTGAATTTTTAAAGTTAGTTAGAACCCTTTTTCTTTTTCAGGTCAGGTGCCAGCCATTCCTTTTGCTCAGGGTTATGGGGTCTGAAGTCCAATGTGTGTTTCCTCTTTAAGAATAAAAATAAATCTGCAGCACTGGGTGGGCAGTGGCTGCTCAATGCATGTCTGCCTCAGGCCCTGTGGTCCGTTCCAGCACCATGAAAAACTGAGGATGTTCAGAATTTAAAAGCCAGTCAGCTGGTTATTTGTGTCACTAAGACAGTTTTTGAATTAGCAAAGACCCACTGGAAGACTTCTAGTGAAGCATCTTTATTTTAGGATGTGATGTTTTTTTAATTTATGCTATTTGAATACTGATTCTAAGGTGACATTCCTAATTTAGCAGAAGGGCAAATGATCCTGCTTATTTTAGAATGCTACTTGTCCGTATCTCATGGTCTAAAAAATACCATCCAGAGGCTTAAGAATGGAGAGTTGTTTGGACTCCGCCATTGCCCCTGAAATGCTCGTCGACAGGACTCTGACTGCCTGAGACCCCCCCCCCCCCCCCCCCCCCCCCCCCCCCCCCGCCAGCTCTCACCACCTCTTCTTAGCCCTCTTTTAAAAATGACACAGATCTGTCTGTTACCCCAGACTGGCCTCAAACTCACTATGTAGCCAAGGCTGACTTTGAACTCCTGATCCTCCTGCCTCCACTACTAATGCTGGATTCCCAGGAGTGTGCTGTCACATCCCCTGAGTGTCCTCTTTTCTTACCGTGACCAACTCCCCTGACGTTCAGTATCTGAAATGCTATTGTTTTCATACTTTGTTCCAATACAGAATTTTCTTTATTGCATTGCTTTAGCCAAGAAGTCAGTCATTTCAAATATATTGTACTGTACGTAATAGTTGTGTTTAAGAACTAAATCAGAGGAATGTGACAGAAATTGGGCATTCCGATTCCCAAGTTGACATGTTTGTTTAGAAGGATATTAAGGAAACTGAATGAGGATAATTTTGGTAGGAGAAGTAAAGAAGATTATGAGCACCTTTTTGTTTTTCCTCATAGAGGTTCTACATTTTGTTGACTGGGATTCCAGTTGCAATTGGCATAACGCTGGTGAACATATTTATTGGTAAGTCCCTCATCTAGCCCCTCACTCCTCCAAACGGTAACATTTGTGGTCCTATATACAAACTCTGAAAAGGAAATTGGGAACATTTACACTGGTTACTTTGCATTGCTGTGACTGAACACCTGACACAGGCAGCCTAAGGAAGGAAGGATGGCTCAGATGTCATGGTTTCAGAGACACTGGCCTTCCATGCGGTGGATGCTGCAGTGAGAGGGGCACCAGGAGCAGAGGAGACGGGCTGGAACCAGGGTGGCCTTGACCTTTAAAGGCTTCTCTTGTCACTCATTCCTCCCTCCAAGTCCCACCTCCTAAAAGCTCTGTGACCTCTAAGATAGCGTGGGAGCCTGTGGGGACGTTTCTACAGAGAAGGTGGCTTCCAAAGCCTCATCTTCCTTCTCTCCTGTCCTAGTCACTGTCCCATCACTGTGAAGAGACACCATGACCATGACGACTCTTATAAAAGAAGACATTGAATTGGGGGCTTGCTTGCAGTTTTGGAGGGTTGGCCCATTATCATAGTGGGGAGCATGGCGGCAGCCATGGTGCTGGAGCAGTAGCTGAGAGCTTCCTGATCCAAAAGCAGAAAGAGAGCTGGGCCTGCCGTGGGCTTTTGAAACCTCAAAGCCCAGCCCCTATGACACACTTCCTCCAACAAGGCCACACCTCCTAATCCTTGTAATCTTTTCAAACAGTTCTGCTCCCTGCTGACTAAGCATCAAATATATGAGCCTAGGGGGGCCATTCTTACTCAGACCACTTCATCTCCTTTTCTAAAATCATCTTTGACAAGCTGGATCAGGAAAACAGAGTAACGGGGGAAGAGAGTGAAACACACACACACACACACACACACACAGAGAGAGAGAGAGAGAGAGAGAGAGAGAGAGAGAGAGAGAGAGAGAGAGAGAGTGAGTTAGTTAGTTAAAATTCATCCTGGAGTCTCTAAGCATCGAATGCATGTAAAAGGTCTTCTGAGCAGTATCTTAAAATACTGATTGATTTTGAGTCTTAGAATGTTTTATCTGGTAGATTTACAGAGGTGTAGTGGTATTTGCTCTGCCTGTGACCTTGGGCTATAAGGCCCAAAGGAGGTGATGCTTCTTGCCATTGTACGGGACTTCTTAAAGGAAAGGGAGAGGGGTCACGTGGGTCTGTCTCCTTTGGGCCCTATAGCCCAGAGTCATGGGCGGACCAAATACCACTACACAGAAGAGCAAAAGTTAAAACAAACAGTGTATCCTTTAGTATGTCTTGTTATATAAGAACCAGGTGGGAGGCTCTGCTGAGATGCTGGTGGTCCTGTTGTACACTAGAAGATGGCTAGAGCTCTCCGAGGACTCATCTTTTCCCAGTGAGTCTAGCACATTAGAGGAAGCAGCCCTTGGAACCCTGAGGAGCTGGCTGCTGACTGCCATGGAAGGGCTGGTGTGGAGCTGGTGACCCAGTGCTAATCGAGCGTCATCACCATTTTCTCTCACTAGGTGAAGCTGAACTTGCAGAAATCCCAGAAGGCTACATCCCAGAACACTGGGAGTATTACAAGGTTTGCACAGCTCTTGAAAATTCTTGTTGGGTAGCTTGTTAATGTTGTGGTAAATGTCTTAATTAGACAACTATGATATAGTTTTTCACATCAAGGAGATGATACATTTTAAACTTAAAAATTCTTTTTTAGATTTATTTTATATGACTAGGTGTTTTGCCTAAATATATGAGTGTGCTCCACATGTGTGCTTGGTACCTGAGGTGGCCAGAAGGGTATCAGGTCCCCTGTAACTGAAGTTGCTGATGCTTTTGAGCCACTTGTGGATGCTGGGAATTGAACCCAGATCCTCTGCAAGAGCAACAAGTGATCTAAACTGTTGAGCCATATTTCTAGCCCACAGTATTGTTTAATTTCTTTTTATAAGTAACAATTCTTGGTACTTTTTTCATTAAAAAAATTATGATAAACTTTATAGGCTAAACTAAATAAGCACAGACTATGCTTATTTCTGCTCTCTAGTGGAAAGGTCTTTGCATTTGGGTCAGTAGAATTTGGTTTGTCTCCTGCCCTGCTTGAGCTGTAGCCCTCAGTGCAGTGTGAAGGAAGCACCCAGGCTGGGAACTGAGGCAGTCAGTCAGATGCTGCACCTCGGTGCTCACAGGCTTGGGCCTGAGGCAGACGGTCAGATGCTGCACCTCAGTGCTCACAGGCTTGGGCCTGAGGCAGACGGTCAGATGCTGCACCTC